GTAAAAAAGTGTTTCTTAAAAAAATAAACGAATTCCTATAATTTTGACAAAATTTTAAGTATTTATTATGAAAATTATAGATACTTTAATATGTAATAGATTGCAATACTAAATCATAATTATAAAAAGTTAAGTGAATAGTAAAAAAAGTTAACACTAACTAAATGTGTTAAAATTTATAACAATTGAAAAAGAGAACACAGTGAAAAATATTACACTTTATTAAATATTGTTTTTATTGAAGAGTATTTAAGCACGTGGCAAAATATTTTGGTGGTGAATACTTGGGCCCATGAGCACCCTGTCAGGCATACTATATTGGCCTGTAACATACACTGCTACAGCGTTTCCACCGCCGCTGTCGCTGAAAATTTTGCCCGTAGGGACACAAGTTGCCCATATGATAGTTATACATTACAAAGTATTCGATTAATATAAAAATAGGATTAATATTATTACTGCTTGCGCATATTTTTTTAAACATTCAGTCGTTTAGAATTAATAATTATACACCCATATCATAAATTGTAGAATAAGTTTACAAAGTGTGAAAGGTGTGAGTGAAAGACTGAACACATTATGGCCTACCGCAATGTTTATTTATGCGGACGTTCGCTTCTACAGCTACATTTTAAACATCGTTAAAATATACATATAATATGATAAATAGTAATAAATACAAAATATATATTAACAAACGTTAAAAATTAGCATATATCCGATGATGGTTATAAAATCGTGAATAGATCGTTGGATGTCAAAAACAGGAAACATACTTACTTCGAATGTTCTTTTGAAGAACACGAAAATTGTACGCATAAAATTGTGAATGGTACATATTATAATGGTAACCAATTGGTTTAGGGATCTTATTATATATACTGAAAGGGAAATTGATTAAATATAATGACACTTCGTTTGCTAGGTTAATAAAACGATACTGCTAGTATTATTGCAACGTATATTTCGTTATGAACGAATATATGAAATTGTATGCAATTAATACCGAGCAGTATTGTTTATTTCAAAGGATTAACTGTGAGGTCTTTATGTTTATCATATTCTCTTTATACTAGGAAGGACACAACGTCTGAAACAAACGAAGCATTTCATCTTAAAAACTTGTTTGTTTTCAACGTAAAACGAATGATCGTTTTTCTTCACTCTGTGATAGTTCAATTGAAAATGTCCTAAAGCGATTAAATATATTTAGACATCCACATAAAAATTCAATCGTACTGAAATTAATATTGTTCGCAATTAGAGCCGCATTTCTCCTGTTCCAGACAGAAACTATCCTGTGCGTTATGATAAACGTTGCCCTATGTATTCCCTTTTTGTAGTACACGCGATATATATCACTACACCTAGATGAATATTTAGTATTGGTATCCTCCGTTGGCCGCGGCGTCACCACCACTGCCGGATGGATATCCTCCATTACCATTGCCACCGTTGTTTCCATTTCTGTCACCACCTGGTCTTCCGGATGGATATCCTCCTAAATTTAAGTATTATAAATTTATGCATTATTTCTACCAATATGCGAAAATTGACAGATATATGAAAATTGTACCACTTAAAGAGAAAGAATTTTAAAATCTATTTTAAATTTCACATTCTATGATATTGTAACACTTTTGCAATTGTAATTTACGTCGGTGCACACCTAGTTAACTTTTTCTATTATTAAAGTCATCAATATTATAAAAGACCAAAAAAAAACAAATATGAAAATTAAAAAAATATTTTTTCTTTACCATCACTAAAGTCAGGTCCACCGCCTGGCCTTCCTGACGGATAACCATTGCCACCCGATCCACCCCCGTTAGGGCCACCACTTGGATATCCGTTACCTCCACCATTGCCTCCTGGTCCACCAGGACCGTATCCCTCGGAGTTCGCTTCACCTTCGTATCTAATTTGCGGTTTAAACCCATCTTGATCGGCCTCGTATTCGACAATTTGTTTTCTGCCATCGGGAAGCAGAACGTTGAACTCTCCCTGTGCGCGATCGCCGTCTCTGCTTTCCGTATGCCCATAGTCGGCTCCAGATTGCTCGTCCTTCACTTCATAAGAGAATTCGTACTTCGCTGGTTCCTAAATTAACGTTATTGACATTTATTCGTAAAGTAGGTGGTAACAAGTGAAAACGACACTCTAATATGAGACATTAGCAATGAACTACACACAGTAAACGTATCACTAGTTTAGCTTTACAAAATGGAGTAACGGGTTAGATCGTAATCTTCGCTTATCTTAACACATTATCATCCGAATGAATTACAGTTGAATAAATGTCTAGGATTGGTAAAAAGATATTTAGAAAAATTGATAAAGAACCTTCTGTTAGGAAAATGAGTAATATAAAATTGAACGATGTTTCATTATACTTTTTTAGAATCGAAGAAAAGAATTTCTTAGAATCGTATACGCGAATGAATTCTTTGTGCGAGATACGTAGAAAATGGTAGATCTATCCCATCGGTTAGTAATGTGTTAGGCACTGGGAATCAAAAAATAAAATTGAAACATTATCCTAAAATTACCAGTGCTACTGGTTGAACTCGTAAAACGTTATTCTTCCTTGTTATATTCTAATAATAGAAGCAATATTTCAAATAACGACATGTCGAAGTTTTACGTCCGGCCTATTGAGATACTCCCAATGAACTCGATCACCGAACCCAAATAGTCTACCTGTACGACGAAGAGTTACGAGAACCTCTGCCACGTTACAGGATTGACATTAACATTTCAGATAATGCAACATAATATTACGCCAGGTTAACGAAGATGCACTTACATCGTTTTCGTCATTATCGCCATAGCCTCCATTGCCTCCGCCATTTCCACCAGGTCCTCCAGATGGGTAACCACCGTTGCCTCCTCCATTACCACCTGGACCTCCAGAGGGATAGCCACCATTGCCACCTCCGTTTCCACCTGGTCCTCCTGACGGATATCCACCATTGCCTCCGTTTGATCCTCCAGATGGGTATCCACCGTTTCCACCATTGTTACCATTGCTACCACCATTATATCCTCCATTTCCACCACCGTTATTCCCATTTCTGCCGGGTGGTCCGTAAAGTCCGGACGGTCTACTACCTCCGTTTCTGTCAGGCGTACCGTAGCTTCCTGATGGTCGGCCCCCACCGTTTCCACCGTTTCCACCATTTCCACCATTTCCTCCATTCCCATTTCTCCCCGGCAGCCCGTACAGGCTCGAAGGAGCTCCACCTCCGTTGCCACCACCAAAGCCGTTTCCACCTTCCGGAGCGCCGTAGCTGTTCGATGGACTGCCACCGAATCCGTTCTTGCCGTTGCTTCCACCGTTGTATCCGTTTCCTCCACCAGGTGCTCCGTAGGTGCTGGACGGTCTTCCGCCACCCGAACCACCGGTTCCACCGAATCCATTCGACGGCGCCCCGTAGGAGCTAGACGGTTGACTACCACTGTAACCATTACCCCTGCCGTTTTTTCCACTGTTCGAGCCACCGTTTCTTCCGTTGCCAGAACCACCGCCGTTATAACCATTTCCATTAGTAGGTACCCCGTAACTGTTCGATAAACCATTGCGGCCGTTTTCACCGCCTCCGATGCCATTCTGACCGTCGAAACCGGGTGGACCGTAAGTGTTCGACGGTCCTCCGCCTCCTCCTCCTCCTCCGTTACCATTCCCAGGACCACCACCGCCTGGTGGTAAGTACGAGTTCACCGGTGGCTCGCAGCGCACCATGGTGAGGGCTACGACGAATACTGCTAATCCAATCTGTAAGTGCAAGATTTGGACATGTGTACAGGTTGTATTAGACAGTTGTGTTAGGGCATAATATAGCAACAGATGTATCAAAGAGAATCAAGTTTGAGGAAAGTATTGTTAGTTTCGTTAGATTTCCATCACTTTTTTTTTGCTTCTTTTTCAATTTCTCCTATCTCGTCTTTAAATCACAGTTATATGTACGAAAATATAAGTCGTTAGAGTGGTAACTTTATCAATATTATCATCGGTTCTTTCATTTTCTATCTACGCGAGAATTCTCGAACAATATTTTGTTCTCTCGTTTCTTAACGGATGTCGAATTGTTTTACATGCTCGAGAATGAAATTCTCGTCTGTGGGGTTGTTGGGTAACTACTTGAACGCAGAACAACACGGGACATTCCGAGATACGAAACAATCCTTGTAAGTGCGCTTCTTCCTATTCGATGTTTATCAGTTGCAACAGATATAATTTTCCCTGGTATACCTCTCTGAGGCCCTTGTTTCCTCACCTTAGACATGACGCTGAACCGGTGGGTCTTTCTTCTACGGGTCGAACAATAAAACCGTCGCCACCGCTTTTTCCCTCGTTTATCCTTGAGAAGGTGAGCCTCTGGATCACGCGAGGTGCTGCACCAGGTAGGCCTACGCTTCCTTCGGTACTACCTTTTGGTTTATGCGCACCTTCCACCGTTGGATGGTGTTGAGGGAATGACAAACTTTGGTTCTAATCCGCTTTATATATCCCGGGATTCATCCGTGTTTCTAGATCACGGTTTGGTGTAAGCGTTGTAGGATTTACAGCGAGGCACGGTGTAACTGTGTCACGGTGGTGTTGAATCAGTCGGTGACGGTAGTGATGGTGAGTGAAGAAGAGTGGGACCGTAGCAGCCACCTAGAGTACGGATTCGTTCCATATTTCACGGGTTACGAATCCTATATTGTAACGCAATGCAGCGCATCATTAACTTGGAGCATCGCTCCTCTCGTTGCTTGCTTGCCTCTCTGTTGGACGACGAGAACGGCGACGAAGAAGGATGCAGGACTTCGTAAGGATTACGGACCTTCTAAGGATGGCAAATTCGATCGCTCGTCTTCGTTAACGAGCTTGATTAATACTACTTCGCGTCTATTCGCATCGGAAACTTTCTCGAAATTCTGTTCGATGCATGATCATTCTTCCCTGAACAACTCCGCGAATAAGACATTAGGCAACGTTAAGCGAGCCTGCTAATTACGGGGTAACTATCTAATTAGAAGTGAGAATGTTGTTTAACGCGGTACGAAATGATGATTAATCGGCCGTTTCTGGTGGATGATTAATTAGCCGGCAAATTTAAACCCCTTTTTCGTCTGGCGAACCACCAAGCTGGATATTAAGCTCAGGATACGATCGTGTGTCCCGAGATTTGTCTTTCGAACGAAAAAAAAAAGTGCAATTGAAGTCAAGTACAAGTTACGTTTTGTATCACGATACAGATATTGAATTTGCAAAGAATAATTAGAAAAGAAGATCTACAATTTAGGAATGGTCGGTGAAGTGGAAAATAGAATAATTGTTATTAATTGAAATTCTCTTAGAATTCTCTGAACATTGAAAGAGATTTTTTCTTTCGAGCGTAAGATGGAAGAAATGTGAAATCGATGATGAAACCCGATGACTGGTACATTTCGGGAATGTTTTGTTAATCGTTGCTTGCTCCCAATGCGCTGTACTCTTCGCGATCATCCATCTAATTTCACAACCGATAAACAGCCTTCGAACATCGAATGTCATGGATTTGATACAGTCCAATTTTTACTTTCGATTTCGTAATACACCTTGTCATAATTGTGATCCATTAATATCTCTCTTCACTTTACCATCACTTCTTCTTCCTTTTTTTCTTTTTTTTTGCAACATTCGCGTACTTAACGAAGGATCCGGATTTACCGCGAGGATAAAATTAATCCTGACGAATGTAATAACAGCAGTAAAGCAAGTTCAACAAGGATAAATATACCTTTCTGAAAATTCAATGGCGCACGTTACAAAGGTGAATTATCTTCAGACTTCGATAATGAAAATCACCGGTTAAAAATAAATAGATCAATTCCATAAAAACAATTAACGGAATAAACGAACATCGTACATCTGTTAAATGTACCCTTACCTGTGTGTTGAACGGAAACGTTAAGTACCTACATGGTTACATTAATGTTCCACAAGTTTTTTCTTCGCGACAAACGGGGTTGCCGAGACCTTTTGGCTTCTAACATTTTTCACGAAACAACAGACAGCTTCGTCTTTACGTTTGATGCAGAAAAAGGAAGAAACAAACAAACAAACGTGCACCATCTATGTGCACGAGACGAAATCGAAAGATTCTGTAAAAAGTAAGATCGCGTAATTCATGCAGGGGGGACTTGAAAAGGACAGATGGCAATTAAACCTATTATGTCCTGTGCGGTTAAGGCAACGATGTGCTTTCTGTCAGCGAGACTTTCTCATACGTTTTTACGAAGTGCACGTCATTGAAACGCGAAGGGGTTAAGAACGTCGCTTCTTCAACTGCACATACGTGAATCCTGATTGGCAGGTATGCTTTAGCATGTACTTATGAACAGACGGATGAACAGGATGAAGTTAAAATACCGGTGCAGAGCGAATTACACAGATTATATTTTACCATAGCTTATACAGGATTCTGTATTTCACGACGCCAGGTATAAAATCTCTTTAATGTAGCGATAGGAGAAATAAGAAAAAAATTGTTATTATAAACAAAGTTTCCATATATTTTTGTTAGAATTGCAGATTGAAGTACGCATCTCTCGAGAAGAATTCGACAAAAAACGACACGGACGCTACTTATTTACTACTTTCCCTGTTAAAATTATACAACGCGAAGGAAATTCTAACGAGGTGTACGAAGACTTTTTTCACCGAGTGTATGTGTAACTCTGGTAGCGAACGTGTTAATACAGTAGCCGTGTGTTGTATAACTTCCACATTAAACATACTACAAAAATCAATTCCTAACTCTAATCGAAATTTTCAAACATTCACATTATCTCTGTACAAGAAGATTTCCAACGAACTAAAATAGAAAAATCATTTCCGGAACATATTTCCCTCGTATACCAGTCGAAAATATTTCATTCGCAGATTTTCCCCGATAACTCCGTTCGTCCAATTCGTTATTATTCAATCGAGATCAGAGGACGATTAATTTCCATCGACTAATTAAGTCTGATTGGTTTAATTGTCCGGAAAAAATGTCGCTTGGCGGAATTAGTAGGGCACGCAGACACACGGATTCAACTGTCCGACGTGTACACACGCTCGTATCCTGGATGCAGAAAGTTTGTGCAATCAGTGAACTCGTGCTGAATACAGGTGGTGGCAACGTGGGATGTTGGTTAAGATAGGGATACATTATGCAAGATTGCGTCACAGGTTTATTGTATCAGCACCTCATCGTACATGGTTAAAGATAGCGCGACGGGTACCTAGGATTTTTGCGATCGGAGATTTATAGTGTTGGCGAATCCTGAAATTCGTCTTAATCGGTTTAGAACAGTTTCGATTGTGTCCGTTTTATTATAGATCAGGCATAGGTAAGTATCGTAACGGGTTGCGAGACCCGAGGAATCTTCTTCGTGCATAAATCGCACATCGCGCAACGCGGTGCCACGGACTGTTCAGATTTAATAAATGACCGGAGGCGAACTATTTTATGCTTGATAAAGCTGACACTCGGCTGGCGTTGATGCATCGTTCGAAATTTCCATCGAATTTCGCGAGAGCCGCCGTAGATGCAGACACGCGGGGAGCATCTCTCCCATACGAAACGATCGATTTTTCCGGGGGGTGAAAGAAGAAGAAGAAGAAGAAAAAATATTGTTCACAATATCGCGAACACTTTTAAGTAATATTAAGATTCCTCTCGCGTAGAGATTAATGTTTCGGACGTGTTGCACGTGGTGCGGAGAGATTAATGTTTATCGTATAGTTGGAAGTAGAGAAAAAAGGCAGCAAACGAGCAAGGATAAATGAAGTCACGAATGGCTAAATTAACTCGGGGGAACTTGCTTAATAGTTTTTCCGATGATTATCTCTGGACAGCGGCGCATCAACGGGGAAAGATAGCAAATTAGTTTCGGAGATAACTGTTACGCAAAGCAATTGCCCCGATTTGCGCGCACACGCTGCTAAAACTTTTCTACTTTTATACGGTCCGATTGTTTCCATCGTGAACTTGCTGCACACCTCAAACGAGATATTTATTGTGCTCGTTACATCACGCTCTATGCTTTCCTTTGCACGCGCAATTTCTGCTAATCCGTGATTATCTTTCCCGAACGTTTCACGATTTTCCCGCTTTTCTTTCTTTACCGCGACGCGACGCGACGAATCT